TTGAAACAGTTGAATTAGTGTGGTAATTTCTTGCTTTACCGTTTATATTCTTCTAACTTCATCAAGATACCGAAAGTGAAGGTATTATCGATGGCTCAGAATAAACTGAAGATTCCTAGGTTGACTGGAGCGGAATTTACTAATGTTTAAACTGGAGCTTTAATTTTATTTGCAAGAGTCATCTATATGTATGAGGTGTTTCGGTACCAAAAGAAGAGTTTGAGGAAGTGAACCTGAATTTAGGGTTTGTGAGAAGTTGTATAAATTCGGGTGTCAGGTGTTGTAGTCATTTATTGACGTCAGTGCTGTGAAGATACCTGATCTTTTGTAGTATTTGGTGGTAGGGACTGGAGTTTGTTTGTTTTGTCATTGTTTACCGCTCTAATTGTCCCTCAGGTGCACGATAACTTTGTCGTCGTGGACCGTTTGAAGTTCTTCGGTGGAGGAAGAGGTTGCATTTGTAATGTAATTTGAAGTGTTTTGAAGGATGTGTAGCTTTTCAATTAGTATTAGAATGCTAATAATTAGTTTACGCACTTGTTAGATGTGCAGTTTTGAAACCATATTTCTCATTTCATCTCATAGAATAACTGTTGCAACCTTAGTTGTTCAGCTTCATGATGATGAAGTCGTTGTTCAAACTACAGTTGCATATTTAACTGTTTAAGAGTTTACGGTGTCGGTGAATTAGCTTTATTCAGCTGTTCTGGTGTCTTATTTGAGCAATGTGTATATAAGTTCTTCCGTCAGTTGTAAAGCATAACTTCATTAGCATACCTGGGCAGTTAATGGCATCTATCTTTACATTCTTTTCCTCCTAATTCTCTTACCAGTTCTTTCATGAGAAAAATCTGCAGAAAGATAGTAACTTGATTTTTCTTGACGGTAACATATTTTTTCTTTAGTACTTGCTTTGCTTTGTTATTTTAAGTAGCAAATTTGCTAAGTTTACAATTCTTTTCATGAAGCTAACACGTGTTGTCTGTTTATTGCTCAATAGCGACTTGCGGGACCAAAAAAACAAGCCAGATTTGATTGTTTAGTTTAGGCGGAGGTATCTTTCAGAATGGTCGATTCGCGTAGGTCTGTCGGTAGTCGCGGTAAAAAAAGTTCTCCACCAGTATTTTCACATGACTTCGTCATACAGAATCATGGCGATATTATGTCCTGTATCGTCATGTTTATAGTTATGGGTCTTTTCTTCCAGGTAGCTTTTTCTGATCTTGCTGCGTGAGGTTTTGATTTTTAATAAAAGAATTTTTTTGGTTAACGTGTAGGTAGGCAGGCCATACAGCGTTTTTCCAGATCATTATTGTTAACCTAACTTTTTCGTTTCATCACGGTGGGGTAATTGAGTTATTAATGTAAAATTTTTTTACTGTAACTGTTGTGTTTCAGGTGACAACTCCGTTAGCTACTGTGTTCATAATTCCCCAGTATAACGAAACTATAGAACCCACTGTTGCCGGTAGTAAGTCTACAGCTTATATGAAGGATTTTTGGCCTTTTGGTTGTAGTTTTACCGTTGCTAGATGTGTAAAAGACCTGTCTATTCTTGTTCCTTCTATTCTTATCTCAGTTACTCTTCAGCAGTACGTCAATCTTACTTTGGTATTGGACCAAAAGATCTTTTTGCGATTTTCTTCTATACTGTGGGATGGATTGTTGTACATGCTATTCTTCAAGAACACATTTTTGACAAGCTGCAAAGGAAGCTTCACCTGAGCAAATCGAAGATGAGTAAATTTGCAGAATCTGGACAGTTAGCAGTGTTTGCTGTTTACTCAGTTGTTCACGCAGGCAGGTTCATTTCACGGTTCATCTTTCAAATGGGCAGATTGATTCATCTTAGTTTTTTCTTATGGAGGTCGTTTTTTCCCATGTCGCTGTGATTTGGCTGTTGTAAAGGTGGAATTTATGAGAAGAAAAAAAGATTTAAAATTTGCACTGACTTAATTTGGTTATCTTAATATGGTTTTTACCTGGTCGGTATCTAGGATGTATTTTGCACGACTTGCGTTTGTATGCTGACATTACAAAGTTATGGGTTGGATATCCTGAGACGCATCGTCTTCTAACCCTGCATGCAAAATTATTCTTTATTTTTCAGGTCTGATTTAAGTTTCATTATAAAATTGCGCTTCTGTATTTCCAACTTAACTTTGTTTTTATTTGAAGTTTTAGTAACTGTCTTAGAGTTTTTTTCGTCCTTTTGAGATTTTCTCCAGTTTTTGCATTTGTTTTAAAGAAATTAGCATTAACGAGTATGAACATGAAGTAATTCTTTTCCAGATTGCGTATTGGATACATCAATTTCCAGAATATTATTTCCAGAAAGTTCGCAAAGATGATATGCGTTTGCGTACTGTTTATTCGCTAATCTTTCTTGTTTTCATTACAACAGGCTATTTTCTGAAGTTAGTAGTGTTCCAGTTCTTTTTGGTGCTCACGAGTACCTTTAATTTGCGTTACACTGTTTATTTGTTTGCAGTTTTAACCGTTTGACTGTGACGCTTTTATTTTTTGAGTATATATCACAAGCAGTTTTCCATACGACCAGGCTATTCCATTTTTCAGAAAAGTGGAACATTTCGAAAACCGGGTATTTTTTAAGCTTTTTTTTTTTTGTTTTTTTTTTTTTCACTTCTAGTTCTGGAGAATTCTAACTTAGTTGTTTTAGTTTTAAACTTTGGAATATTGTTTTCGTGGTTGTCAGACTTATTAGCGCCGTAATCACAGTTTTGACGCTGTGGTATGGACATCGAACTATTGAGGTACCATATATCGATATTGCAACTGGGAATTACAACACAGCTTTTATTCGGTAGGATTCTCTTTTAATCTCGCACTTTCTTTTTTGTTGTCGAACTTCTCTTTCTAACAGTAACAATTTTGAATTTTTAGACTAAACAGCATGCTTTGCATTTTGTTTTTGCAACTGCTTATGCTTTTCAATTTTGTGAAATTCCATCTGCATCGAATTCGCGAAAGACGAAGCAAACAGAAGCCCGTAAAGGTACCTCGTACTCAGAACAAAAAGAAGAAATCAGTTGCTGATGATGTAGGTTTAATCATGTAACAAGTGCGCATCATTAGCCTTTTAGTCTCATGTAGCTTTTTTATTTCACTCAAGTCAACCTTCCACAATTATATTAAAAATTACTTTTCGTTTTTCGATTCTTCTGGGGATAGGACGCTTAGGATTTTTATTTTTCAACTGTTTTTTTTTTTACGTATAATTACTGCTTTGAAAAATTGTGTTCTCTTTCAGCAGAGTTCGGAGAACGACCAGCGCAGGAAGAAAACAAATTAGGATGCTTTATTTTTAAATGTGTAATATGGTTTTGCAGTATGCTGTTTTTGTGCCCAAAAAAGTTTATTCAAAAGTTTAGGGCGTAAGAAAGGTTATGAAGATTTCTGATTTTTTGGAAATTATTTACATCTTGTCATAGGTTGAAAGATGGTGTCAGGGATACGTATATATCTGGTTTTACTTTGTTGTTTAATTCTAATTGTTATCAGAGTTGTTGTTCCTTAACGGATCGTTGTTGCTTTTTCCAGTTGCGTTGGAATGTTTGTAGGGAGAAAGTTGGGTTTTACTAATTATAATTATTTATTTCCTTCGATATTTAATTTATTTATTTTTAATTTTCTTTCGGATTGTCGTGGTTTCTTCAAATATGATTGTGAATTAAGTTAGTCTTAAACAGTAGTACTTTCTTGAAAGTAGGAAAGAATGTTGGCTATGAAAAAACAGTTAGAGATCATTTGGCCTGTTATACCACTGAAATTATCTTTAGTTCCTAAATCATTTGAAACTCTTGCACATTTATTTTGACTTTCATTCCTTTCTGTAATCACTGGTAGTGGTGTCTGACATTTACAATAATTGTCAAGGTCCAGATGCTAAATGTTGACTGTCTTGTTGTGTCCAGTTCCATAACGCTCATCTGTGTGGTTTGACAATACAAAATGGGGCCATTTTTCTGTGGCCCATTCGTCTGAGTAGTCTAATTTCTTGTGATGCCCATTTCTGTGTTATAAATTTTTGTTTGTACTTCGCGGAAATCGTACCGGTAAAATGCAAGTCGTGACTTGCACAAAAATTGTTTAGCAGTATTGCTGTTTAAGTGTTATCTTCTCATTGTTTTCAGAGATGTTTACTGAGTTGAATAATGGTTTCTTTTTTTGCGGAAGTTGAGTCTTTCCAGTGTTTTTTTGAAAGCCTAATTGATTTTGAGGGTTGTTGTAACTTTGCTATGTGGAGTTTGTTTTTCCCGTCGTTTGTAAGATGTCTTTTTCAATTCTACAATTGATTTTTGTTCGTTCATTAAAACTTTACTCGTAATTTTATCAACTACAGGTCTCGGTGAAATTTTAACCGTCATAGTGCAACTGCTCGTTCGTTTCTTAAGCGCACCACAACTATTGGATGTTTACTTGACAGGTGCACAGAAAGATTTGTCAGTTGGAAAACTATCTATTTTACAAGGAGCTGAGTAGAAGTAACTCTTTTTTTGGTAGCATACTTTTCCTTTTCATACTCCAAGAAGATATCTGCAATCTCGAGTGCTAAACTAGTTAGACCGGTGCAGTCCTGCAGGTTGGCGAGGATGACTACAGATATTCCGCTTGGAGTTGGCGGACTAAAAAATGGTTTGATTAGAAGAACGGAGCTGGCACCTACGGCCCCGCCAGTGTGCATCCAGTAACCGGAATGTTGTCGTCGACAGTCGGTACCTCCAAAGGAGTCGGAAACGTCATTTTTGTACCAGCCGAGTGCATACAAGTAACCTTCTGACGGTCTGGCAATGACTTCTCCCTTCCAGAAAGTCTCTAAAACTTCTGGTTCGAGAAGCGGCCTTTTTCCCCTTGTTTTTGGATGACGCGAAACGTTGAAGCTACAAACTTATTCAATTTTAGCAGTAAAAGGCGCCTTACGTAAAGGAATAAGTTCATTTACCTTTTAAATAGAACAGCAACTGGAAAGTAAGGAAAGTACCTGTAAAGCATAGCATCTGCAAAAATTAACAAGTCATCGACTGTAGAGATAAATCCTCCACCAGCCCACTTGTTGGAGTTGTTGACTTCTGGCGAGTTCTGAAGTTTCCCATTTTCATCTCGATAGTAATAACTATAAACATGAAAAGAACGTTATCCTTCAAAATTAACATCAGTATAACCAATTCTTTAACTTCTCTTTAAGAAACCACTATCACTTTAGTGATTACCGTGTGCGATTAGAAACAATCTTATGATTTTCATCCAGACATGTCTTATTCATCCCCAACAGTTTGAAAAATTCTTTGGCTTGCTCAGGAAAAGGTTTATTAGCGGCCTTCTCAAGAACTGCGCTGAGCAGTGTGTACCCATGGGTTGTGTAGTTGAATGCATCTCCGGGTTTTGAAATTAGATCATCGTCTTTAAATACTCGTAGTGCATCTTCCACGTTTTCGTAACGTTTGTTACTAAAAAATTCGGGACTGTTTTTGTCAGCTTTCCTCAAATCCTTTCTTTGGGATTCATCCTGTAAAGGTATCAACTTTCACACGTGCCACCTAAAATTAATGAAGATAACATTCATCATAAACGACACAGTTAAAAGTGCTCCGCGCCCTTATTACAGTAGACAAAAGAAATAAAATAGTTAACCTAAAGCCCAGTATTCTTATTAGGCACTAAGCGTAACATATTACACTCGGCTGTAACATTCGTGAATACCCCCAGAAAGGCGGTAAACGGACGATCAGAAAGAAACAATTAGTAGAAGAGGGTCGCTCCTCGTGAAAAATGATCTGTGGGACGACGGAACCACATAAACTGATCAATAACACAGCAATCAAGCGTGCTCATCGCTGGAAATCGCTTTGTATCGTCAATTTACTCTCATTTCTTCTACTAATGGATTTTTGGATTTCTTGACCCCACCTAGCTTTTAACCTTCTGAAGCTTCAGTGCTAGTTTCGCTTTGATCCTCATGTTGTTTTCGTAACAGTGCCCTGCCACCGGCGCGTAGAGTTGTGGAAAATAAAACGCGTGTTTGTGTAACACTGGGTTCCGTTTGTTTGGGGGCTAATTCTTGCCATCCTGCAAGCTCCTCTGCTATTGTAAAATAACAAGTTTAACTGTTTTCATAACGTAAACCCTTTGGCGTGCAAAAGATTCTGTCTGGAAAAGATACTGAGGTGCGTTAAGGCTAGTTTCTACAACTAGCAGTTGCTTCGACCTAGAAAAAACAAGTGAAAAAAGCAACATAACATCAAAAGTTAAACATGAGCTCTCCCTGGGAAATATATATTTC